TTTCGAGTAGGATCTAAGGAGATTCAAAGAGAAGAAGTATTATAAAAAGTGAAGGGTAAAAATGATGAGTAGTGAAGAAGTTTATAGACGGGAAAAATCGTGTTCATGATTACCTCGAAAACTGACGAAAATATTTGCCGAATCATGGAATAACAGGTGTTCGGGTCATTAAATGCGAGCATTCTTTCAAGTGTTAGAAACCGTTCAGGAACTTTCCTGCCAAGAAAAGGGGTCTTATCTACTTCCTAGTAACACGAAGTTGTGTCATCAGAATCATACGGACTATCTGTATGGAGTAAAATTAGTTAGCAACAGTTGGACAAATAACGAGATGGCACATAGAACTAAAGACATGTAAGATGTGAGTTAGCAAATAGCTGGCACCGAATACAAGCATGTGACTGGTGCTGAGCGAATCCTAAAGGCATCGAATCCGAAGATAATAATAGTTCTATATATATATACACACACACAAAAAAAAAAAAAAAAAAAAAGAACAGACCTCTCTATAATAGCATCCCCTATATAACAGTCATTCACTATAAAAGCCAACTTTCCTCATAACCGATTTTTTAAGTTATATTTTACCTCGCTATAACAGCTTTTTAACTTTAATAGCAACAGTCATATTTATAGCATAATGCTCTTTTTAAAATTGCCCTTCTATAACAACCATATAGAATCAAGGTTACTAATAATAATTCTAAAAATACAACACAATCTTCTTCATTGCACAAAGTTTCTATTTTGCATAAAACATAAGATTTGCGCATGATATCTTTTCCATTGGACAAATGCCAAAAAAATATTTAGATAGAAGATTTAACTGTTAAGCTTTTAGATTGTCTTCAAGTGAAAGCTATGAGATACCTTTTTGCTGAAATTTGGATACAGATTTTCGTCAATTCAAGCGTTATATCGCTAGTAAGAGAATGAAATCAACGAAACGAGCTACAATTACAAAGTTTTTCCATTAGTTTTAAAAGAATTTATTTTTTAAGTAGCTTTAAATGTCCGCCTTAGAGTTTTAACTCTTTATCATTTGGTTATGAATTTATTAATAATATATTAGTTTTCTTTAATATTTAACTAGTGAAATTCACATATCTTTTGAGATTTTAAATTTGAATAATTTTCTTATTTTTTATATGTAACATTAGAAAAGGAAAAATAATTGATATTTGGATAATTTTTATGTATAAAAGCCAAAAAATATTTAAATGTCAAATGCTGTTATAAGTGTCTAACAGCCATTCTCTACAAAAATAAGAAATATCGAAACAAACAAGGTTGCTATAAAGAGGGTTGACTGTATATAAAATGCAGCTTAGCATCTTGCGATCTCAACAAAACATTATAATAACATCCATTACTGCTGATGATTGGGCTAAAACACTTTAAATATACACTTAATAAGGTATGATAAGCCCGCATGATTTTCTCGGAAAGGTCTCAAACTATTAAAGGTATCCAACACCTTATAAGTAGATAATGTTTTTTACTTTCTATATGAACTTTTGTTTATACACACCCAATAATCTCATCTTGAACTAAGTTCTATGTGACCCTTCACCATTGATGTGCTAGTTTAGAGACTAACTGTGTGTTACCCACATTAACAGTCATTTATGGCCACCAAAGCCCATTGGCTTCTTTTTGTGTATACTCTTTGAAGCTATGTATAAGGTAGTACAATGACTCATAGACGGGAAAAGGCGCTCATTGACTCTGATACCAGTTGTTATGCTAAAATGCCTTAAAGATATACTTAATATGGTGTATTATTGTCTGTTTTGGGTTACCCAAATGAATTTTCTCAAAAGACATCACACCATTAGGGGTAACCAACATCTTATAAGTAAATATTTCCTCTAGTCCACAACAAGTGACCAATTTGCCTTTTTATTTTGGTCCAAAGTAAGTGTCCATTTATATAATCAAGAAAAAATTCAATTTGTTTTTTCAAAATTACCCTTATGTACGTATCCCTAAAAAGTCTTTTACTCTTCACATTAAATTATGCTACAACATTTAATTAAGGGTAGTTTAGTCACACTAACTATTTTTGTCTAGAATTTAGTATTTTCTTAATGAGTGTGCCCAAGACAAATTGGTCATTTATTATGGACCGGAGGAAGTACTTTTTATGTTGGACTTTGTTCACACGCACCCAACAGCCTCATTGGTAAAATTATCCAAACAAAATGTAAGATAAAATAAAGCTCCCACGAACAGTTGTGGGACTCGCCGGAAGACTGTCTCTAGTCTCAACAACTAAACTCTTGGCCACCACTTCTGTACATATATCGGAACCATGATAAAATAGGGATGAGAACGTAGAGTTAAAATAGCACGGGACTAGCCAGTTTTCGGACTGGTCATTCAAAAATAGCCAGTGTTTGCAAAGTCATTGAAAAATAGCCACTATTTTGCTGCAACAGGGACCGGTCCAGCATAATATACTGGAGATCGGTGCACCTGTGTATGAACTTCCAGCATATTATGCTGGAACTCCAACACGCGAAAAGTTCCAGCATAATATACTGGAGATTGGAGCACCTGTGTATGAATTTCCAGCATATTATACTGGACCGGTATATTATACTGGAACTCCCGTATACTTATGCTGGAACTCCACTATATTATGCTGGAGTATTTTCCGGATTTTGAACTGTGTTTTCGTTCATATTTATCTTTAAATGAAAGTGGCTAAATTTCGATTACTTTTGAAACTGTGGCTATGTTTAAATGACCACTTGTAAATTTGGCTATTTTTTAAATTCTCCCGAACGTAGACCAATGGCCCATAACTGATACTACTAATGTTATAAGGGGTACTTTGGTTTAGAAACAAGTTATAGGAGTATCTATGTACTATTTTATGTTTGGTAGAATATGAAATGAAGATATAAGAATTAGAAATACATAAATTAGAATAACCAAATGACGAAGTTAACCTTTCATGTGGTAACCAATATTTTATTTTGTTAAAAAATAACACATTTTAAAATATACAGTGTATAATAATTTTTTGTACAACAAACTAAAAATCATAATAAGTAATCCCTAACGATCCTTGTATTATCATACTTGCATTACTAATCTCTGAATTATTAGTCCCTTTTTTTGACAGTTTATATAACTTAAAATCCTTGACTATGTTGGTAAAGGGTACAAATTCTTTCAAAAAATTAAAACTGAATACAGTGAGCAATCATACTCACAATTTGCAAAGATGTTTTGAAGTTGAAGTGAAATGTGTGATGTTGCCACTATCTATTAATTAAGAAGAGACCCTCTCCAGAAAGTGTGGCTTTGGGGAGGGTTGGGGCAGTTTCAAGATATCAAGAATTGGCATATATCTCCAACTGCTTCCCGTTCCTATGTTTTCAGGGTTACAACATGCTAAGTTCTTATTGAGCCTCACCTTTCAGAAAATGGCTATCAGCAAACAATGTACTAGTAATTATCACAGTTACAAACAATTCATGCCAGAACAATAAGACATTCAGTGCATGATGTCTCTCCTACAGCTCCTCACTTCTTTGACAGCTTCTCCTTCATCCTCTGCACTGCACTTTTAAGAATATCATCATCCTTGCAGAAGGTAAACCTGACAAGATTCTTTCCTTCTTCTGGATTTAGATAGAATACGCTAGTTGGAATGGCTACAACACCAACTTCCTTGATCAGGTATTCGCAGAAGGCAATGTCATTTTCTAATCCAAAAGGAGTGTGATCAACAACCACAAAGTACGTTCCACTCGAGGGGTATACTGTGAAACCAGCTGCCTTTAACCCCTCCACCAATATTGCCTTTTTGGCCGAGTAATCCCTCTTAAGCTCCTCATAATAAGAATCTGGGGCTCTAAGGGCCGTTGCTGCTGCATATTGCATCGGAGTGGATGTTGCAAAGGTAAGGTAGGAATGAGCCTGTCTTACTCCCCATGTCAAATGAGGAGGAGCAATCGCCCAACCTATTTTCCAGCCTGTTAGCGAAAATGTCTTTCCCAAAGAATTCATAGTCACAGTTCGTTCGTACATCCCCGGAAGAGAAGCAATTGAAATATGCTCCATTTCAAAGGCTAATTTGTCATATACTTCATCAGCAAAAACTAAAATATCATTTTCAATGCACAGAGAGGCAATGACATTGAGTTCTTCTCGAGTGAACATCTTCCCTGTGGGGTTATGAGGAGTGTTTAGAAGGATTGCTCGAGTGTTCTTTGATACTGCTGATTTTAGCTCATCAATTGGAAGAGAAAAATCTGGCGGTCTTAAAGTAATACCCTTTATCTTTGCTCCAGCCATAGATAAAGTAGCCTCATAAGAATCATAGAAAGGAGCAAACAGGATAACCTCATCACCAGGATTTATCAAGCCCAAAATGGTTGCAGCAATTGCTTCGGTGCAGCCCGAAGTCACAGTAACTTCCTTTTCAGGGTCAACCTCAAGTCCACTATCTTTCTTGAATCTAGCAGCCACAGCAGAGTTGAGGTCTGGGACTCCATATCCTCGAGCATACTGATTTTTACCTTCCTTAATGCCTTGAATAGCTGCTTCTTTTACAAAATCAGGGCCGTCAAAGTTGGGAAAGCCCTGGCCAAGGTTTATAGCTCCATGCTTGATGGCTAGCATACTCATTTGGGTGAAAATTGTAGTTTTGAACTTCTCTAGGCGCTTGGCAACCTAAAAGAAACAGCAAGATTACTCAATTGAAAGGCAAACAAGAACACCCAATATATCAACACACAAATAAAAAGAGATTCTTTTTTCCTATTACTTCATGAAGGCATGATGTGCAACTGCATACAGATTCTTTGTCGATTTAATTTTCTCTTTATCTTTTCTTGGGGCTACTAAAAGAACATCAAATACAAAATTAAATCTCTAAATTTAGCAGGGAAGTCTTCTCTTTTCTTTCTACTCAATTGATTGTTAAAGCATAAGGGACTGGCATTTGCTTCTTTATAAGATTTCATTCATTAAAAAAGGACCCAATTTACTCTAAAAATTCTGTATTTACATTCCAGAGAAATGCATGGATTATTGTAGAGCTATACACGAAAGAATAAATTACAAGAATAATAAGCTCATATAAGGGAGGTTACAACAACAACAACAACAAACCCAGTATTTTGGGATATCAGGGAGGTTACAAGAAGGAAAACATTGAACGAATAAATGAGTTCATATCAGGGAGGTCCAATTAGTATTCAACTGGACCAGAATATGCCATCTCAACAAGCATTGTTGTGCTTCCTAGGTTCTCAGCATACTTTGTGACAGAGATCAAGGTTATAGCACAAGCGAATGTCAAAGCAAGATAGTTCATTCGCTTGATGTTCCGCATCTTTTGCATCACAGCAGGTTGTAATTCTAGCATGAGGCTTTATGAGAGATTAAGGGTGTGTTTGGTATGAAGGAGAACATTTTCCGGAAAATATTTTCCAATTTTCCCATGTTTGGTTGGCTTAAATGTTTTGGAAAACATTTTCCTCCAATTGGAGGAAAATATTTTCCATATCAAGAGAAGGAAAAACATTTTCAAAAACTCTTCTTCAACCTTCCCCATCCTATTCCCCATCCCCACCAACCCCCCACACCTATCCCCACCCCACCACTACCCCACCTACCCCCATCACACCCACCCACCCTCCGCAACCCTGCCCTACCCCCTCCCTAAATAGAAATATTATTAAGAATACTGTCTTTTTTCATTTCAACAAAATGAGTATATTTTTCATGATATAAAAGAAGTATTTTGTTTCATTTCAAGAAAAAATGTACTTTCTTTTCATGATGTAGAAAAAGAATTTTCTTTCATTTCAACAAAATAATATAGTAAAAAGTATCTTCTTTCATTTCAACAAAAAAGCTATGTTGCTCGAACTCTCCGAAATTGTGGTCGGATACGTGTTGGATCCTCCAAAAGTAGTGCATTTTTGAAGGATCCGACACGGGTGCGGCTACATTTTGGAGAGTCCGCGCAACATAGCAAAAAAGTACTTTCTTTTCATGATGTTGAAAAAGTAATTTTTTTCATTTCAACAAAATGAATATTTTCCGGAGGGGGAGGGGGAGCACAGAAAACATGGGGATTTAAGGGTAAGGAAAGTAGCATAAAAAATTATTTTTCTAAAAAATATTTTCTACTCTCTGAACAACCACTAGAAAATATTTTCCACAAAAAGCTTTCACTCACCAACCAAACATGGGAAAATAAGTGATAACCACTCATTTTCTAGGAAAACATTTTCTTTCACGCCAAACACACCCTAAGTGTAACCGAGCATCTCCAATTCAGGCTTATGGTCTAATATGGAACAACAACACTCCTTTTTTACTAAGGACATGCTACTGCAGCATCATGAGTTGAGATCATAGGTTTCCGAAGGCTGTTTCTCAACTGCTGTCCATGAGAAAGAAAGATCACAACTTTCTTAACCGGTCTACCACCTAATATGCTTTAAGGAGCTTTCTTGTTTAAATACGAAAATGGCTCAAATATGCCATTAGACTTTAATAAATGGCCTATTTATGCCATCCATTAAAAGCTGGACATATTCATGCCACTAACGCTACACTATCGGCTCATATATGCCATTATCCATTAACGTAAGCGGAACCCTACTACTACCAGATTTTGCCACATGGCATTATCCAAATCCTTCATCATTTACCAACCCCCTCCCTTCTCACTCCCCCTCCCCCCTCCCCCCGTGACGAGTGGCATATATGAGTCATTTCATTAAGTTCAGTGGCATATTTGAGCCTTTTCCCTATTCCTTATATTACATAACTCTCTTGAGTAACAAATTTTCTTTATCCTTCGATGCATGACATTCAACCTTTTAAAATCATATTCTTGTATAAAACCTCCATTTTTTTAATTTTATGTACTAAACTTATATTTTTATGTAATAAACTTATAAGGACAAGTTTGTCCCTTGTACTATAACATTATTATTTTACATGGAAAAACTATACTCTCTTATTCAATTGGACTATGAATCTAATCCAATTTTACATCATTAAAAAATTTCTCGTACATTAGCTCTTAAAAAGATTTTAAAAAGCACATAATTTTTTTTAAAAAGAAAGACACAAGCTAAAAGAGAGTACATTAATGAAGTGTATTTGGGAATGAAAAGTACATTTGATTGTGTGAATTAAGTGTATGTATGTATTTTCAGGGTGGAATTTGGAATGTTACCGTGCTTGAGACATGGCGATGGCTTGGGAAAATGACATAAAATTTGTTTAGATAAAAAAAAAAGCTACGGGTTTAAAAGAGAGTACACTAATGAGGTGTAGCTGGGTATGAAAAGTATATATGAGTGTGCGAAGTAAGTGTATGTTGTTACAATGGTTAGGACGTAGATGTGGCTTGGGAAAAGGCTCAAATATACCACTGAACTTAATGAAAAGCTCAAATATGCCACTAAACTTGACGAAAAGGCTTATATATGCTACACGTAAAGGGGAAGCGGCTAGTAAGTGAGGAAGGGTTTAGATGATGCCATGTGGCAAAATCTGGTTTCAGTAGGGTTCCGTTAGTGGATAATGGCACATATGAGCAAATAGTATAACGTTAATGGCATGAATATATCCAACTTTTAGCGGATGGCATATATAGGTCATTTCTTAAAGTTCGATGGCATATCTGAACTTTTTCCGCATTTAATATTCTAACTACCTTTAAGAAGAATCTAGACATGTTCCGGAAGAATTTTAGACCTTTCAGTATTGTCATGCATAAATTTAACAACTAAACTCACAAACTGAACTACTGAAGATAAGAGTCATGAGGGATTCCTCAAACAGTCCAAAAACTCTTCCCAATGTTTATTCAATTGGTTTCTCCTTGTTTGCTTTTCAGCAGAAAACCTTTCAAGACTTCTGATTATCATCCAAGCAATTTGATCAAAGAGGTAGCTAACATATACTTGAATTTGGAGCGGACCAAAACAAAGGGAACAGTGAGGACAGAGAGCATACATAATAATTAGTATCTAACTTAGCGGTCAATGAAGATGGAATGAACGATGGGTGACCAGGGTTCCAGGAGAGGTAAAAAAATTAAAGCGGTTTCTTCCCATTTGGACGTCTGCCATAGTTGTTTTCATTTGGAATTTTTGCATGTTGCCTAAGCACACTGACCCGCTTTTCTTAAGCACATGGTTCTCTATCATTGTGTAAGTTTGAGGTTGTCATTAGTCTAACTTATGTGGTTTCTTCCCATTTCTTTGTGCCAAGAATGACTTTCATTCACTGGTGGCCCTTCAATGTCTCAAGATATTCCAAGACTTTACGAATATCAAATATGAGGAGTACACATATCAAGTAGCTTTTAAGAACAAGTTACTGAAGGAGGGAACATTAGACTTACAAGACGACACACATATTATAGGAAATGACATTTGCATTAAGAAAGTCAATGAAGTTACACATGTGTCTAAAGATCTAAGACCTTGATCTGAAGAATTATGGAGGTGTGTAGATAATTGTTAAAGCAAAGAGAGTGGTATTGGGAGTTAGCAACAACCGAAGATGGAGTACCCTTTGAAGAGTAACAGAGAGAAGAGAGAAGCTTAGAATAAAGCCTAAGATGATTTCCACCAAAAGTTAGGGACTTGGGAAAGAGAGGAAAAAATGTGTAAACTAACATCACTAAGAGAGAAGAGGGGTAAAGACTTGAATCAAGTGAAGTGTATTAAAGACAACACCGGACAAATTTTCATAGGAGATTATGAAACCAATGGAAGGAGATGCTCAACACACATCATCAGAACAAATTAGTTTATTTTCATACATTTAAGACAGACAAAACCCCTTAAGTATGCTCATAGAACTAAGAAGATCGAAGCAAAGGATGCCATGAAACATATGAGAGGTCGGGCAACTTGTGGATGAGAGGATATCTCTATAAGGTTTGGAAATGTCTTTGGGAGGTCAGAGTATATGGCTAATTAAGCAATTCAAAGTTATATTAAATATCAGAAAGAAGAAAAACAAGTAGACAAAGGGTAACCTAATTCTGACATAAAAGAACAAAGGAGATATTCAAAATTGTGTATTCGTGGTATTAAACTTATGAATCGCACATGAAGCTCCAGGGAAGAGCGACAAAATATGAATTCAATATTACAAAGGTTATAAAGAAGCAAGTCCAAATATTAGATGTGTGTGCTTGAGAAGCAAAGAGTTCTTATCAAATATATAAAGGCCATAATGGACATGTATGACGATGCGGTCACAAGTGTGAGAATAGAAGGATATGTAGAGAAATTTCTTATAAGCATGGGTTACAACAACAATTTGTCTTGAGACCACACTTACTTATCCTAGTCATGGATGAGCTAACTAAATAGTACATAATGAGATTCCAAGGTGCGTAATATTGGAAACAACATTGCAATTGATGAAATAACAAGGGATGTTGAGGACATAGAGGATTTATACAACCAGCCTCAACTAATTTCAGATTGAGGCGTAGGGTCAATTCTTTGTTTTTAAAATAACAGTGGTATCCGGCCGTTACGCTGTTACGCGTACCTCGACTATTTCACTGAATACCTGCTATCTCTACCAACACCAGTATCTATAACTTCGTCCATAGTATTTTGTCTCCTTTGGGAATTAAACCTGATCTCCAAGATTTGCACACACTTCATTGAGGCATAGAGTCAACTGATTATATTATTCTCATCTAATACTACTACACGCTATGATCCTTACATCTAGTGTCAAATTATGGTCATATCAAGAGTTGAGCAGCAGCTCACCCGCAAAATACCGAGCCTAACATCCTCCATCTTCTTTCGTTGTGAAAGAGGGGACAAAAAGTAGTAACAATAACGGGGAAAAAAGAGCTTCAATCTTTACATAGCTGCAAAAGACAATCACGCAATAACTATCCTCTTCAATTGGCTTTTTGGGATCCCTAAAAATTTTAACTTGGAAGACTAAAATGGATTAGAAATTAACTTTGATGGATTAGAAAGTAACTTTGCCCTTCAATTGTCTATCAAATGCTAAGTCCAAAGAAAAATAAACAAATAATCTCAAAAGGGGTTACCTGCAAAGGCTTAGGGACTATATGGCTGGACTCATCTTTAGTAGAAACAGCCTCTTTCTGTGTTGAAACGGTGGACAAATTCGCCATTGGAAAAGGGTATTTTCTGCTTCTAATGCTGCTGGAGAAGGTGCGGGAAATATAGGGTTTAAAGCTCCTCAGCATCTCATGTGAATAATACTGAGGTGTCCAGGTACATTGGATTGACCGAGAGATTTGCATTACGGAGAATCCCTATTCATTGGTAAAGAGCATAAAAGTGTAACAAAGGCTCAAATAATTCTCAATTCGAAGTGCTCGTTTTGTGTTTTCACTTACAGCCATGAGATGAGATGAGAGGTTAGCTTCGATTTGTTATTGGACTGAAATTACTTTTAGACCCTTTAATTTTGGAAACGTGTTAAATGCACCATCTCACATCTTTAACAAATCACTCTCTTACTCCTCTCTCTCTATAAGGAAAGAGAATCATGCGAGGCTCACTCATATGCATACTATACTTCCCTTTTTTCCGCTAGTTTCAAAATACAAGGGGTAATTGGTGGGAAAAAAAGGGGTAGTTAAAGGGCAAATTAGACTTTGTATTATTTGAATTTATTAATGGTTGGTATTGTTAGGTATAAATTCTTGTTGTCCGATTTCAAGGGTGATAAACACCCCTCTACTATGCAAAAATATTTATTTATACCCTCTGTTATACTATAAGTCCGCCACAACACCGACGTCATAAAATTGGTTGAAAAATATTGGGAAAAGGTCGAATTTATCCCTCTACTTTAATAAAATTATCCATGTTTATCCCTAGTTCTATTATCGGTCCAAATACGTCCCTACCATTAAGAAAGTAGACAAAAATACCCCAACTCTAACGGTTGTCCATTGTCGCAAAGGACCCATTAACAAATAATGCCACGTAATTAAATAACTCACATAACTAATTCTAAATTTTTATCTTTTCTTCTTCTCTCTTTTTTTCCCTAACATTTGAATCCATATCTAATACTTTGCGGCAGCGCCTTGAACCATCGTTCTCCATCTTGAACCACACTAAGACTACCTTCCACAGCCATTTTCAACCTCTGTCAACCATCTTTATCCCACATTTCAAAAAAGAAATCGCTAGTTTTCACTGTATTTTAAAACAAAAAGGACACAAGAACTGAAATTGATTGCTCTTTATCTTGGTTTGATTAATACATTATGTAGTATTTTTCAAATCAGCCATATCCAATAAAGAAATAAACCAACAAAAGTGTGTGAAAGACCAACGTAAAGTAGATAACAACTTTTTAATCATATTGTATAGTATCAAGTGAAACAAAGTTGACCAAAAATTATAGGCCAAAATAGCGATACGGGGGCAAGATCGGAGCTCCGAGGAAGCAACATCAAATGAACAAGACAAGTCAAAGGGGAAGAAATCAAGACACTATTACAAATAACAACAGACGCCGGAGCAACTTCCTGCAAGATATCGGTGGTGGAGCCACTTTCATCCCGTCTTTTTTATTTTTGTACTGATCTCTATGTGTGTTTTTTCCCAATCTACTATTTTTGGGGCCAGTGGTGCTCGCCAGCGTTTTGATTTTTTTGATCATGAGCTGGATATGAATAGGCAAAAAGGTAAGTCGTGGTCAAAGAGTTTTCTGGTCTGGTGGCTTCCATGGTGTTCATATAGATCTAATTTTTTGTGATGGTAGATATCGTTTGACAGGTCGCGGGCTGTTATAGTAGAAGAGAGAGAGAGAGAGAGAGAGAGAGAGAGAGAGAGAGAGAAAGAGAGAGAGAGAGAATGTTTTCTAGAGGCTAGACGGTTGGTTTATCTCGGCGCCTTCTAGAGGCTAGACGGTTGGTTGATCTCGCCGGCACCGGCAACTTCTAAAGGCGAGAAAGACCATTTTTTCCAGTGAAACTTTATTACCTACGATAATGGTGGAGGGCATGGGAGAGAAAAGGGAGGATTTTGATAGTAGGGAAAAGAGGAAAAAGAGAAAATAAAAAAAATAAAAATTTAGAATGAAAAAGAAATATTTATTAAGAAATGAGAGCAAAATAGAACAATATAGTAATAGAGACAAGATGTATAAGAGGAGAATGTAGAAGTTACCATTAGAATAAAAAAGAAATATTTATTAAGAAATGAGAGCAAAATAGAACAATATAGTAATAGAGACAAGATGTATAAGAGGATAATGTAGAAGTTATCTTATTCAAGTGTGTTTCTTGTGTGTTCTTCCATAGGCAAAGAATGTCCTATTTATACAATACAAGATACACCCAAAACTCACTAGATACATCTTAGGAATTAATAGGTACATCTATCCAAGTAGTGCATTGTATAGAATGTATGGATGGATTAAATGAACATCCATATACATTCACTTTATTTATAACACTCCCCCTTGGATGTTCATTTGAAAGATAATGTGCCTCGTTAAAACCTTACTAGGAAAACCCAGTGGGAAAAAGCCTAGTGAAGGAAAAAGAGTACACATATCTTGTAATACGCATTGAGTGCTGCCTCATTAAAAACCTTACTAGGAAAACCCACTTGGGACAAAACCTTGGTTAAGGGAAAAAGAGTACAACGCGTATTATACTCCCCCTAACGAAAGCTTTATTTGATATCTCGGAGACGATGCATTCCAATCTTATGTCTCAGCTTCTCAAATATTGATGTTGGCAATGCCTTAGTGAATAAATTTGCTAGATTGTCACTTGAACGGATTTGTTGAACATCTATCTCACCATTTTGCTGAAGATCGTGTGTGAAAAAGAACTTTGGTGAAATGTGCTTTGTTCTGTCTCCTTTGATATATCCTCCTTTAAGTTGAGCTATGCAAGCAGCATTGTCTTCATACAATATCGTTGGAATCTTCGTTTTTAAAGAAAGACCACACAATTGTTGAATATGTTGAGTCACTGATCTCAACCATACACATTCTCGACTAGCTTCATGAATAGCTATTATCTCTGCATGATTGGAAGATGTAGCAGCTAAAGTTTGTTTTGTTTAACGCCATGAAATAGATGTACCCCCACAAGTAAATAGATAGCCTGTTTGAGATCGGGCTTTATGTGGGTCAGACAAATAACCTGCATCTGCATAACCAATCAACTGTGAATCGGATTCATAAGAATAAAATAATCCCATATCAATAGTCCCTCGGAGGTATCTAAAAATATGCTTAACACCATTCCAGTGTCTTGTTGTTGGAAAGGAACTAAATCTTGCTAATAAACTTACTGCAAAAGTTATATCTGGTCGAGTATTATTTGCAAGATACATTAGTGCCCCAATTGCACTAAGAAATGGAGTTTCATCACCAAGAAGCTCTCCATCATTTTCATGAGGTCGGCATGGATCTTTATTTATATCAAGTGATCTCACAATCATCGGGGTACTCAATGGATGTGCTTTATCCATATAAAAACGCTTTAGGATCTTTTCGGTGAGTTGATTGATGGACAAAAATTCCATCTTTCATATGCTCAATTTGTACACCAAGACAAAATTTTGTCTGTCCAAGATCTTTCATTTCAAACTCTTTCTTCAAACAGTCTACTGCTTTTGGAAGTTCCCCAGGAGTTCCAATGATATTTAGATCATCAACATACACAGCGATTATAACAAATTTCGATCCAGACCTTCTTGTAAATACACAGGGACAAATTTGATCATTCTTATACCCTTCTTTCAGCAAATACTCACTCAGGCGATTATACCACATTCGCCTGATTGTTTCAATCCGTATAAGGGTTTTTGAAGCTTTATTGAACAAGTTTCCCGAAGATTTTTATTAGTTTCAGGAACTTTAAGCCCTTCGGGAATTTTCATATAAATTTCGTTATCTAATGTGCCATGCAAATAGGCTATGACAACATCCATTAGGCATATCAAGTTTTTCATGGACTGCCAAATTTATAAGATACCTGAAAGTGATTGCATCCACCACAGGAGAATATGTCTCCATATAATCAATGCCAGGTCTTTACGAAAATCCTGTGCCACAAGTCGTGCTTTATATCTAACGACTTCATTTTTATCATTTCGTTTTCGCACAAAAACCCATTTGTATCCCACTGGCTTTATTCCTTCAGGTGTTCGGACTATACATCCGAATACTTTACGTTTTTCAATGACGCTAATTCTGCCTGGATAGCGTCTTTCCATTTTGGCCAATCATTTCTCTGTCTACATTCATCGACAAATCTTGGTTCAAGATCATCATCTTGTTGCATTATTTCAACAGCAACATTATAAGCAAAAATGTTGTCGACAATAATATTATTTCGGTTTCACCTTTTTGCAGTAGAGACATAACTTATTGAGATATCTTCATTCTTATTATTTTCAGGTACCTGGACCCTCTGAGGTCTTATCATTTGTTATGTCACAAGGCTCTTTTTGAGCAATTGCCTCCATATTATAATCTCCTAGATCATTTGCTCCTTTTCGCTTTCGAGGATTTTTATCTTTGGAACCAATTGGTCTACCACGTTTCAAGCGTGTCTTAGACTCATTTGTATTTATAGATTGTCCAACCGGAACATCAATTCGAATAGGAGCATTAGCAGCTGGAGTATGTGATTTAGTCACCCTTGGTAGGTTAGTGATTGCATCTGGCAGTTGATTTGCAATATTTTGCAAATAAATTATCTTTTGAACCTCATGTTCACATTGCTTTGTTCAAGGATCTAAATGAGATAGTGATAATGCATTCCAATCTATCTCCTTTTGCAATTGCTTATTTTCTCCCCCTAATATTAGGTATATTGATTCATCAAAATGGCAATCAGCAAATCTTGCTATAAATAAATCTCCAGTCATAGGTTCCAAATATTTTATAATAGAAGGAGATTCATACCCAACATATATCCCCAATCATCTTTGGGGTCCCATCTTTGTGCGTTGCGGTGGAGCAATTGGAACATATACTGCACATCCAAATATTCTAAGATGGAAAATATTTGGCTCCTGACCAAAAGCCAATTGTATTGGGGAGACTTTATGATAACTTGTAGGTCTGATCCGCACAAGAGCTGCTGCATGCAAAATAGCATGGCCCCATGCTGAAATAGGAAGTTTTGTTCTCATAAGCATTGGTCTAGCAATTAATTGGAGGCATTTGATCAATGATTCTGCTAGACCATTTTGATTATGAACATGAGCAACTGGATGCTCAATTGTTATCCCAGTTTATATGCAATAAGCATTAAAGGCCTGGGACGTAAATTCACCAGCGTTATCAAGACGAAGTGTCTTAATTGCATAATCTGGAAATTGTGCTCTTAATCTGATTAATTGAGCTAGTAACCTTGCAAAGGCCAAATTGCGGGTTGATAACAAGCACAC